CTTCAAATCTTAGGTTGTCAGGTCCTGGACTTTTGTTATATTCCTTTAAATATTGTTGGGCAACTTTTTTTCTAGGATTCTGTTAAGTTACTTGGATTATTCAATTGCTTTGAGATTTGACTTTAAGTTTCATTACAGTAAGTCCATAGCAGTCTTTAATCTAGGCTCTAATTTGGAAACACATTAAGGTAATACCCATCTGATGTCTCTATATAATAAATACTCTGTAATATCAGGAAGCCTTTGCATTCTGGGCTCGAAGGAACACAAACTATTCCCAGCCCTGTGTGAGCTCCAGGGGTTGCTCTACCTTCATTTCAATGGTTCTTTTCTAAGTTTTGGATAGTTCTCTCATTTACAAGTGCAGATCAGTACCCAGAAAAAGGCCTAAGGGAACCACTTGCAGATCTCTAGTGTTCTCTCTGTGCAGCTCCCTCTAATATTCTGCCCAGCAAATTTTAGTCATATTTGCTTCCTCATATTTTAAACTGTCTCCTCAGGGAGTTTCACAGTGTTCTTCCTCCTCCTTTCTCTGCAGCCTTGAAACTCTAGGCATAAACTGAAACAATCCAGAATTCACCTTGATTACTTCCCTTCTCTCAAGAACCACTTTCTTGCATTGTCTGATGTACAGAATCTAAAAACCTTTGTTTCATACATTTTGTTCAGTTGTGCATATTTAAGTACGAAGATAAATCTGGTCTTTGCAATTCCATTGTGACTATAAATGGAAGTCCTCAGAGGTCACAAGTGTTAACAGTTTTGAGTACATCCTTTCAGATTTTTAATGTAGTTATGTATAAACATAAGCTTTATTATTTTATGAAAACAAGGATCATATTATAATAATGTTTTGCAAGCTTCTTCTCACTTAAATATATGATACAGATCCATTTACCTTTAAGTACATATAAACCACATTTTAAAATTATTCTGAGAAGATATTTAAAATGTGCCCCCACAACAATGGGGAGGCTGAGGCAGGAGGATCACAAGTATGAGGCCAGCTTTGGCAACTTGGCAAGACCCTGTCTCAAAATAAAAATAAAAAAAAGGGTGGGAATGTAGTTCAGTTGTAGAGTGCTTATCTAGCACGTGTAAGGCCCTTAACTCAATCTCCCTGTATTACAAAAAAAAAAAAAAAAATTCCCCCAATTTTTGGCTCTCAGAAGGGCCTATTAAAAATACTTCTAGGGCTATGGTATAGCTCAGTGGCAGAGCACTTGCCTAGCACGTGTTAGGTACTGGGTTTAATCCTCAGCACCACATATAAATAAACAAATAAAATAAAGGTATTATATTCATACAACCACAAAAAAATTTTTTTAAAAAAATACTTCTACACATAATTTAGGCTATTTGCATTAGTACTACTTTAGTCTAAGGACCTGAAACTGGGATGGCTCAGGAAGATAGCATGTGCATCTGACATTTTGGTAGACACTGTTTAATTACAAAGACACTATTAATGTACAGTCTCATCAAGAATACAAAGGCACTCATTTTGCACATGTTGGCTAACACAGGATATTATCAATTTTTTGTTGTTTTACAAATCTAAGGTACATCCCTAAATGTTATCTCACCTTTTGATTGGTTTTTTTTTTTTTTGCATTTCTTTAATTACTAAATGAGGTCAAGCTATTTTCATTAATTATGGAATATTCTGTATTTCTTCTTCAAAATCATCTATTTTTAGAGTAGATTGTTCATTATTTTGTCTTTATGATATATGGTAACATTCTAAATGGGTATGAACCCTCAAATTCTTTGACATCTTTTTTCATTTTTACTGCCTAACAAGAAATTAAGAGAGTTTTTTAAAAGACAATAAAGTCCTATTTCAACCATTCAGACCCCAGAATTCACTCATTTGGGGACAGGTGACAGCAGTAGGGACTAAATCTGAGGTTGCTCCATCACTGAGATACATTTACTGCTCTTTATTATTACTTATTATTTATTTTGAGACAGTTTCACCAAGTTTTCCAGACTGGCCTGCAATTTGTGATCCTCCTGCCTCAGGTGGTCTCAAAAATCCTTTTTTGTTTTTCCTCTACTTGTTTGTTTGTTTGTTTTTTAATACTCAGGATTGAACCCAAAGGCACTTTACCATTGAGCTCCATCCCCAGCCCTTTTTGAGAAAGGGACTTGCTAAAGTTGTTGAGGCTGACTTATGATCCTCCTGCCTCAGGAGCCATATCCCCAGCCTCCTAGAAATTCTTTTTTTTTTTTTTTTTTTAGAGAGAGAGAGAGAGAGAGAGAGAGAGAATTTTTTATTTAATATTTATTTTTTACTTTTTGGTGGACACAACATCTTTGTTTGTGTGTGGTGCTGAGGATGGAACCCGGGCCGCACGCATGCCAGGCGAACGCCCTACGGCTTGAGCCACATCCCCAGCCCTCCTAGAAATTCTTAATGGTACCCTTCAAGATCAAGATTCTCATGAAACCCAGAAACTGATCAAAATATATTTTCATATTAATTATCTTTTTTTAGCCTCTGAGTGTAGCCAGGCACTACAATAAAAAATTTTCCATATTCTTCTCATTTTAGTTTTCTCTAGAAGAGAATATTAATTACCCTCGTTTTAAAGATGAGAAAACAAGGGATTAGAGGTGTTAAATAAGTGGCCTAAGGTCATATGGCTTGTTAGTGGATGTTTCACTATTTCAAAGTAAGCCCACTTGACTCCAAAGAACAAGTTCCTAACCACTCTGCTATGCTGCATCTTTCTAAATATTCCAGATATACATTCCCAGTTCTCATTAGACCTTACTCTCTGCTTTTCTCATTTTGACAGTCTAAGACACAACTGTGATCTCAATCATTTGCCCTCCAAAGAGATTTTTTTTGGGGGGGGCTATTTATCTGAAATTCCAATCTAATGTCTTTTATCTAGCAACCCTCTTAATCACAGACTTTATTGGGGCTTACGGGCCTTAATGCCCTATTTTCAACTAGGCAAAGAAGTTCAATGGAAGTACAAGATGTTGGGATGGTGCAGACAAGCCTCAGACGTGAAGTAACCCAGTACTGATCTTCGAAAAAGCTACTGTGACAGAGGTCAGTTCCCTGGGCCTCCCTGTATAATTCGGTCATCAAAGGGCCTTCGGGTCACAGAGCCTTGGGAGCAGAACAAGTAGGGAGCACAGCCCGCAGGAGAGAAGGGGAAGAGAAAGAATAGAAGAGTGGGTAATAAGGAATCCGCTGCGGCGAGGGGACCATTCATAGGTAAATCAGAGCCCCGAACGCACAAAGTAGAGAAGACTGCAAAGCCGCCCGCCAGAACCAACTTCTCCTCCGGTCCTCCCCGGGGTTCGCCCGGTAGGCCTAATTCGGCCTGCAAGTCCACCCATTTTTCTTTTTCCCGTGGTGGCGACGCCCCCGACATCCCGCCTCTTTGTTCCCCCTTTACTTTTCTACTACCTTTGACCCGCGCGCTCTTGGTCTCGAATTTGGTTAGCATCCTTCAGGCCTCCGGCCACTACGCCTGATTACTGGGACCCTCCACTCCCTGCTGCCCTTCGGACGGCTCCACGTCAGCTCCCTCCTCCTCAGCTCCCGGAAGCCCCACAAGACACGAACTTCCGGTCTCTAGAACTCCGGACCACAGAGACGGTGCCAGCGGCTGCCTAGACAGGCCGCTACTCGATTGAAGGGACGCCGAGGCTTCCGCTCAGCTGATAAACAAGATGGCCACGGCTGGGGGCCACTCTGGGGTTGACCTGGGAAGCCTGACTCTTTTTCGCCTTCTGTCTTTCTCCGTCTTACTGCCAGGTGAGGTGTCCCCGCTCGTGAACTTGGCTTTCTAAGGGTAACCCTCCGGTTCCGCCCAACCACAAGTGCTGGGGTTTCCCTTTTGGTCCCGGCTGCCCCTCTGTCCCCCCACTCTGTGAATCCTCTTTCTCTTTCGTTCCCGCAACAGAAGTTCCCCCTTTACTAGGACCTTTATCCCTGTCCCTTGAGGCATGTTGTGTTGCTTCATTCCCTTTTCCAGGCCTCTTCCTGGGTTTTCAGCCTACTTGTCTCTCACTTCGTCCCGATGCCTTATTTCCTCCACAGCTCCAGCCAAAGGGACAGGTTTGAAAGTTCAGTTTCCTTCCCAGCCTTTAGACTTTGTGAGACCAAAAGAGCCTTTTTCTTGGGTATTGTAAGGCACTTAAAAGGTAGAGCTCTCATTTCTTCCTCTGTGGATTCCACCATAAACTTGTGTCCCTGTGTCTTGCCTCAGTTTCTTCTCATCAGTAAAGAGAAACTAAAGAAGGTGATGGATACTCTTAACTGTTAGGACCGTGAAGTAATGATTTAAGGACATTTATGTTTTATAATTTGCATAAATGTTAACGTACATGCATTTATTTTCTGGAATATGACTTTCAACTTGGTTGAGCCCCCAAATATAGACCTGTCTGTGTCAAATCATGATTGTGCCTTTGCAGAAATTCACGTAGATTTAAAGATTCCCAAAGAAGAAACTGTAGCTGCCCCACACTGTAGGAACACACAAATGATCTACTGGTGTTAGATTAACTGAACAGGTGTGTAGCATAAGATTTCTCCCAGTTTTGTTCAGACTCCTGGGAAAAATCTCAGAAAGGTGTTTTTGTTTTCTTGTTGTTCATAATTTGCATTCTTAGACCAGCACTCTTTTACTCACTAGCTAGTAATATAAGTACAGTATAGAAAAGCAGTAAAGAAGTCACCCATGAAACCAGAAGCTGACACGTCTAATGTCAAACACCTTTCCTTTGACAAATCAAATTTCTTTAGCCTTCACTGTCAATTTTTCTTTACAAAGTTCGTAATAACCTTCTAAGGTACATAGCAGCTACTTGACTGAGCATTTATCTGTTCCATCAATGTTCCTAAGTATTGAAAAGAATGGGCATTAGTCCCATTTTTTGAAAGTATGATATTGAATGATTTATCCAAGTCACAAATCAAGCTAGTGACATGATAGAGTGTAGTTCTAGTGTCTCTTTGATTTCTTCTAACACTTTTTAAAAATCTTTTTATCTTTTGATCAGGTTTATGCAAGGGAAATTCAGTGGAAAGGAAGATCTACATCCCCTTAAATAAAACAGCTCCCTGTGTCCGTCTGCTCAATGCCACTCATCAGATTGGCTGCCAATGTGAGTTGGTATTGAGATTTGTGTTTGTGGTCACTGTTATTCCAGTTTGTGCCCTGGATACTAAGGAAGATCCATGTCATGCTTAAGAGTATTGGTACTCGGATTAGATTATGTGAGTAGAAGGTGATAGAGAGCCATCTGTCAAACCAGACAAGATGGTTAAAAGAGCTAAAATTCAGTAAGTGCTACATGCCAAGCATTTTACACATGTCTCATTTAACCTCCAAAAACCCTGTTATTGCCATTTTACAAATGATAAAACTGAGATTTAGAGAAATTGAATAATTAGTCAAGGTCTTGCTAAGTTGCCTCAGATTTACAGTCCTCCTGTCTCAGCCTCCTGAGTTACTGGCATTACAGACATGTGCCCCCCTCACATGGTACATTGTACTGTTTTCTAAGGAGAAAGAAATTTCATATTGTATGGCGTTCATTCATTATATGTACTCTGAATGATCATTTTGAAACCAAAATGGGCTGCTGAAATTCAGTGAACTAGCTGAAGAGAAAGCACTGAAAATGCCAAAAATAGTTGGAAGTGGAATTAGTGAAGCATTTGGAGTTTTTGTTGTTGGTGTTTCAGGAATTAAACCCAGCACCTCATGTGTGCTAGGCAAGTGTTCTACCACTGAGCTACATTCCCAGCCCTAGCATTCAGATTTATCTTTCTTCTTTGTAAATGTGTTCTAAATTATGACACCATAGTTCTAAAAGGTGTAAAAATCAAAGTTATATTCCAAAGGCTGAATCCCTTTATCTGCTGCTTGAGCCACTATAGATTTTGGTCTTTCAGTAGCTCTGTTGGAATGTAATTTTGCAGGGGCTGGGTTGTGGCTCAGTGGTGGAGTACTCTCCCAGCACGTGTGATGCACTGGGTTCAATTCTCAGTACCATAGAAAAAATAAATAAATATAGGTATTGTGTCCATCTACAACTAAAAAAAATTTTTTAAAACAATATAGTTTAGCAGGTTGGCAAGAAGCTTATGGTCTGATCTTTGTTTCTTCAACATCAAATTGCTTACCTCTGAATTTCAGTTTATTTCTGTCTTGCACAAAACTGAAAGTCAAGCAGTCTTGTAGATGCTTATTGATGATGCTTAATAAATAGCATGTTCTCAACAGTGCTGTGTGATTGCCTGAAACCTTCCAATTTGGTAAAAGGAAACAGTACTAGGAAGAAAGGGACTTGTTCAGCGAGGCAGTTATATTTTTCTACCTGTCCTTCCCTGAGCTAAACTTAACACAGTTAATTGTACCATGACCCTGCTACAGGAAATTCTGAGAATGGGTTGATTGGTTCCAAAGAGTCCCAAATAAAGTTTTTGTTGGATCTAGTTTCTAAACTGAGTTTGTGGATGAAAGACAGTCAGGTTCATAATGGGCTGGGATCAGACTGATGAACTTGCTAGAACCTCCATTGTAAGTACAAAGAGCCAGGATCTCATTGTCCTGGAGTTGGATGCTAAGAAATCTCCTTTGGAAGTGAGTCGTTCTGCATGTTCTTCAAGCAGCTCTGTGGGAAGCATAGCAGTAGCCTCTAGAGGCAAAGGTAAGAACCAGGACTGACACCGACACTGAAACAAAGGGAGAGGCTGGACTCTGGCCACTTCCTCATTAAGATCTTGTTTCCTTTTCAACCTAGTTATTTCTAAGTCTTATTTCACAGTGTCTGTGCATTCTTAGCAGGCTATTCCTTCTTTAATTAGCTTTGCTAGCATAATAAAACTAAGGAGAAAAAGTGAGATCTAGATTTGATTTTCTGGTTATTATGACCTGCTTCTATTGGATCCTTAAAGCACTCAAAGGAAGCTATGTGTAAGTTTCTTTCCTTCCCTCCCCTCCTCTATCCCCACTTTGTGAGATGAGTAGGGGTAGAAAAGTTGTTCCTTGCTGAAGGTCCAGAGAGAGTAAGCAAGTTACTTAAGACTACATAGCTGGAGCCCAGATTAGACTCTAGGTTTCTTTAGTCCAGTATTATGGCTCTTCTCCTTCCTGTCCTCCCTGGATCTGAAGTTACATATTTTAAAATTTATACCAGCTTTTCCTTCTCCCATGTTTTAAGTGCTATGGCAAGAACTATTTTTGTTTATTTGTTTTGATTTTAGTTTTGTTTTACTTAGAACTTCCATTGGTATCTGAATACTAATTGAAGTGGTTCCAAACTCTTATATTCCTCCCTATTTTACTATTATCACCATTAACATGAACTTGTTACATATTTATTATATATAAGCCATAGTTGATTTCTGGGGACTCTGCCATCATGTTTAGATTTTGTCAGATCTCATGGGAGAAAAATCCTACTTTGGTAGTATTGGGGAAGTGCTTAAGGTTTTTGTCTCCTATCAGATGCTAGTAAGTATTTTTGTACCTTTGTCTGGAAGCATAGTTCTGGTGCTGGGCTGTGAATAATAAATAACTACATGTGTTATGTTTTGAAAAATACATGTATCTGGGCCTTACCATTAGCAATTTTAATTTAGAAGATCTGAGGTAAGCCTCTATATTTTTTAAAACCCCAGGAATTGAGTTATATTGCTCATTGGTAGATTGTGTGCTTACTCAGCATGCATGAGGCCCTGGGATCAGTCCCTAGCACTGCCAAAAAATAAAGAAAAAACAGAACTTCCAAAATGATTTTGTTATACAGTCAGAGCTAAGAACTACTGCAAATAATTTATGAATAACACATCCAACTTCAGTGGGGGAGAAGACTGACAGGGAGACCCTAGGATGTCTCTACGTGGATCCCTAGAGATTTGAGGGGTATTTCCCAGTGCCTTGAATCATGAAGAATTCCATAATTCTACATTCTGGACTGTGGACCATCCTTCCTCTGGAGCAGTGCTTCCCAATATTTGTCACATCATGAGATGCACAGAAATGTTATTAGTGTGGCTTCATTTGTCTATATGTGTAGAACATCCTGGAGTAAACAGTTAGCTTTTGGCTATAGGTGACCAGCCTAGGGACTTTGGAAACCCTGGATTCCAAGGAAGGAAGCCAATCAATATCAGCACATTTAAAACAATTTTTTTTTGATACCAGGGTTTGAACCTGCTGAGATTACAGGCACACATCACCACACCTAGCTCAATATCGGCACATTTCTAATCCATTCAAGACTTATTAATTGAGAAGTTCTATTCTAGAGACCTCAGAGTTCTTAATTAATCTCACCTAATATAATCCTAGCAGCTTGGGAGGCTGAGGCAGGAGGATCAAAAGTTCAAAGCCAGCCTCAGCAACTTAGGGAGTCCCTAAGCAACTCAGTGAGAACCCTGTCTCTAGCAGTGGGGAAGTGAGTTCAAGCATCCTTGGGTTCAGTAATCACTACCCAGAAACAAAAACCTCACTTAAAACTGGCCGGGAGCAAGTAAAAGTCATCTCCAAAATAGTAGCAAGGAAATGGTGATCCAGGAAGGCTACTGCAGCCAAAATCTACACATTTTCACAAAGAAAGATTCAGAGCTAGAGATCTGGACTGGGGGTATAGCTCAGTGATAGAATACTTGTGTACTGGGCATGAGGCCTGAGTTTGATTCTCAGCACCACCAGGAAAAAGAAAAAAGCCAGACGTGGTGGTTTACGCCTGTAATGTCAGCAAATTGGAAGGTTGAGGGAGGAGAATCGTAAGTTCAAGGCCAGCCTCAGCAATTTAGCAAGACCCTCAGCAATTATTGAGACCCTGTCTAAAAATAAAATTAAGACTAAGGATGTAGCTCAGTTTTAAAACACCATGGGATCAGTCCCCAGTCCAAATGGGGGAAAAAAACCCTTCAAAACCAGAAGTCTGAGCTACTGATCTAGAATCTGGCATTTCCTGGAGACACATGTAAAAACTTGAATGTCTGCTGTTCCAGAATCTTATGTATATGGCTAAGTGAAGTTGTTGGAATTAGGCAAAAAATGATCACAGAGTCTTTCTGTTTAATAAATAAGACCGCTAGTGAGGCCTTTTGGGCTTTTTTGTCTTCCATTCCTTCCTTCAGATGAACCTGGAGCAATTCAGTTCTTCAATTGAAGTCCAGAAGTGGCTATATTCACTCAAACATGTTTTTAATATCTTTAGGGTTAAAAGATCTGCAAAATCAGTAAAGTCAGAATGGTCAAATGTGTGAGTTTTAATTCGATCCATTCTCTCCTGGCAGCTTCAATTAGTGGAGACACAGGGGTTATCCATGTAGTAGAGAAAGAAGAGGACCTGCAGTGGGTGTTGACAGATGGCCCTAACCCCCCTTACATGGTTCTGCTAGAGGGCAAGCTCTTTACCAGGTAAGAACTGGATTATGACTACTGGGAAAATAGATCCAGAGAAAGAAAAAGAACAGTAAACAGTCCTCATATTTGTGAGGTTTCCCTGACCTGGTTGGGGAAGGGGCAGAGTTGGTCTTCAGAAGGGAAGAGGTACTAGCAAAGGGAATCGTCCTGGTGACCTTAAAATAGTACTCTAGTGGGTAAGGATTTCAGAGAGAGAGCATTGCCCAAGGTAGGTGAGATTAGTCCCGAAAGTCAGATTGGGCCATAGTCTAGACTGAGAAATTCAAGGCCAAAAAGGGAAGAAGCAGTTAAGGGTTTTGATTCCTTTGTTCTCCATTCATTTCCATCCCAAGGATTAGGGTACTAGAATGTCTGCTACCTTCCTGTTTCCTCTCGTGGCAATTCTTCTCTATTCCAGGGATGTAATGGAGAAACTAAAGGGGAGAACCAGCCGAATTGCTGGTCTTGCAGTGACCTTGGCCAAGCCCAGTCCCACCCCGGACTTCTCTCCTAGTGTGCAGTGCCCGAATGATGGGTTTGGTAAGAGCCTCAGGAGAGCCCACTGTCATCCAAGGCTCATTGTTGCTTCAGTCTCAAGTGTCTGTGGCAGCACCAGGAGAGGGTATCTGGTCTCCATCGTGTGCATCATGAGCATCTGACTCCCAAATGGAAAATAGTGTTTCTTTGTCTTTGCCACTCATCCCTTCCCTCCCCTCCTTCCCCTACTTCCACATACCTTCCATCACCCTTTCTTGTCACATGCTTAGATCCCTCGTCTGCCAGCCTAAGGTCCCCTGATACCAGTGTGTCTATTTTAGTGTGGGCAGTGATAGATTTGTTGTTTCTGTGAGTTGCTGCCTCTTTTTGAACTCTTAATCTCAACTCTGATGTCCTAACCCTCCTCCCTAACCTGGTTCTAAACCCCCATTTCTCCCAACCCCTCTTCCTCCCTTCAGGCATTTACTCCAACTCCTATGGGTCAGAGTTTGCCCATTGCAAAGAAGTGCTATGGAACAGTCTGGGCAATGGCTTGGCTTATGAAGACTTTAGTTTTCCTATCTTTCTTCTTGAAGATGAAAATGAAACCAAGGTCATCAAGCAGGTAAAGACTGTTCCAGCTCCTAGCAATTCTAATGAGAAAGAGGATTATTTTTCAGGCTCTTCTCTTTAGATGGAGGTTCATTTTAATATTGGTATACACTTTGAAAAACAGTTGCTACAAACAAGAACCAAGAAGTTTATTTTCCTTATATTTTTCTCTTCTATTTCTCTCCTCTCTGATATCACAGCTTTAAGAACTTTTAGACTAAAAATATATATATATATAAAGAATATTTGAAAGAATAATATGATATGGGGCCCTAATTAAGTACCAGATGAGCTGGGTTTACACTTGTAACCCCAGTGACTTGGGAGGCTGAGGCAGGAAGATCATGAGTTTAAAGCCAGTCTCAGCAATTTAGTGAGGCCCTAAGCAACTTAGTGAGACCCTATCTCTAAATAAAATATAAAAGGGGCTGGGGATGTGGCTCAGTGGTTAACCCCCTAGGTTCAATCCCTGTTACCAAAACAAAACAAAACAAACTAGTCGAATAGCCAGGCACAGCAGTGTATGCCTGTAATCCCAGCTACTTAGGAGGCTGAGGCAGGAGGATCACAAGTTTAAGACCAGACTCTGCAATTTAGTAAGACCCTCAGCAACTTAGTAAGATGCTATCTCAGAATAAAAAGGGCCGGGGATATAGCTCAATGGTAAAGTGCCCCTAGACTCAGACCTCAGTATCCTCTGACACGTGCACACGCACCCCCACACACAGAATAGTGGCTGAAGCTCCAGATTGGGCCAGGCCACTTAGGATGGGATAAGTTCATCTGCTCTATTGAGGTCATTGAATCTGTGTCACTTTGCATCTTTTAAGGAGTTTTTTTCTTTATCTATAGATCCTATGGTTGTATCAGGACACCTATAGCTCAGGGACAGATGTCTCCCAAAAGGGAGTGACTTAAGGATGAAGCTAGGAAGTTAGGGAGGGATTCCACAGCTGCTGAATTGGGTCCATCTGTCCTTCCAGTGCTATCAGGATCACAACCTGGGTCAGAATGGCTCGGCACCAACCTTCCCACTGTGTGCCATGCAGCTCTTCTCACACATGCACGCTGTCATCAGCACTGCCACCTGCATGCGGCGCAGCTTCATCCAGAGCACTTTCAGTATCAACCCAGGTAAAGCAGGTCCACGTTCTGTTGGGTGTACTGCAGTGGGGGCACAAGGGCCTGGCCTGGGAATGTCGGCAAAACCACTGCAGGGAAGAATAGGCACAGGCAGCAAGTGCTGGGTAGGAGAAGCAGCAACAATTTGAACATTTTAGGCAGCTTGTACCTAAAGGAGAAGACAGCAAAGAAGCTAACCTGGAATAGTTGGAGGCAGAGATAATAATCCAGAGTCCACAGGGCTCTGGTCAGAAAGGTCTTTCAGATCTTCTTTATAGCTTCTGTCTCCCTTAGTCCAATTGATCTCATGTTGTTTGTGTCTTGCTCAGAAATCGTCTGTGACCCCCTGTCTGACTACAACGTCTGGAGCATGCTTAAGCCTATAAACACATCTGGGACCTTAGATCCTGATGACAGGGTTGTGGTTGCTGCTACCCGGGTAAGTGTTGGCCTTTGATCAGCACGAGCAGGGCTGGCACAGAAAGAGTGGCAGGGCCTGATGTAGTGACGCACACCTGTAATTCCAGCAACATGGGAAGCTAAGGCAGAAGAATCACAAATTTGAGGCCAGCCACAGAAATTCAGCAAGACCCTATCTCAACATAAATAATGAAAAGGGCCGAAGAGGGCTGGGGTTGTGGCTCAGCAGTAGAATGCTCACCTAGCATGTGTGAGGCACTGGGTTTAATCCTCAGCACCACTTATAAATAAATAAAATAAAGGTATTATGGGGCTGGAGTTGTAGCTCAGTGGCGGCACACTTGCCTTGTACACGTGAGGTACTGCGTTTGATTACCAGCACCACATATAAATAAGCAAATAAAATAAAGGACCATCCACAACTAAAACAATATTTTAAAAATAAATAAATAAAGGTACTGTGTCCAATTAAAACTAAAAAAAATTTAACAAAAAGCGGGGGTGGGGGCACTGAGGATGTAGCTCAGTGGTAGAGTTCCCCTGGAGTCAGTCTTCAAGCCTTTATTGGACATTTTCCAACTTCTGAGTTGCTACATTGGGAAATCTCATATGGAGAGCGATGTGGGTCGAGGGACTACTGGGTTCTGTCCATTGCCACAACACATGCATATTCTCTTGGTTGGACAGGAGAGGGATTGGGTCTGGTCCTCATTTCCAGTTTAAAAGTGTACCTCCCTGTGTCTTCTTCTGAACTCAGCTGGACAGCCGTTCCTTTTTCTGGAATGTGGCTCCAGGGGCTGAAAGTGCTGTTGCCTCCTTCGTCACCCAGCTGGCTGCAGCTGAAGCTTTGCAGAAGGCACCGGATGTGACCATCTTGCCCCGCAATGTCATGTTTGTCTTCTTCCAAGGGGTGAGGCTTTTTTCCCCGGGGTGGCATGGTAGGGAAGGAGGTAGATGGCAAAAATGGGAGTGACTATTAGTTGGGGAGAAGAGCCTCAGCATTTGACCCTTCTGTTCACCAGCACAGAGCTTTTGAATGTTTCTTTGTGTCTCTCCTTTGAGGATCTCTATTTTAGGAAGCCTCTGTGTCCTGAATTTGATGTGTTACCCACCCCTTTAGTTTCCCACTGATAGGATCTATTTGAGGTTTCCTTTTACTCTTATTGTCTGGACCCCATTGTGGCATCCTGCCGGTCCCTTCTGGCACCACAGCCTGACTTTGGCGTTAAGAGAATGGCAGCTGAGGCTGAGTTAGTAGAAGTAGAGTCAAAAAGCAGACTCCTAACAGCTAATGTTTTTGTTTTTGTTGTTTTTTAAAGACTTTGGGAAGGCTGCTTTCCCGCTTCTGGACTTGAGAAGTCCTCTGATACACACATGGGAGGGACGGTCATAGCTGGGAGATGGAGGAGCCTTCCTGCCTATAGCTTTGACATTCTTTCTTTTCTCGAGGCTGCCCTAACCCTTTTAAATTTTTCTTTCCTTTTCCACCCATCTCCAACCCTCAGGAAACGTTTGACTATATTGGTAGCTCAAGAATGGTCTACGATATGGAGAAGGGCAAGTTTCCTGTGCACTTAGAGAACATTGACTCATTCGTGGAGCTGGGACAGGTGTGCATCTCATTCTTTCACTCCTGTCCTTCCTCCTCTTTTGTCCTTGCTACAGACACCACCCTCCCCTTCCTCTGACTCCTTTCTCTCAGGCGGGGGCCAAAATTGGAGGCTGCCTGTAAATGTTGCTCCTTCACCCTTCTTCCAGGTGGCCTTACGGACTTCAGCAGAGCTCTGGATGCACACAGACCCCATGTCTCAGAAAAATGAGTCTGTGCGGAACCAGGTAACCCAAATATGTACCCCACATCCCAGCCTCTGCTCTGTCCCCATTAACCCTGGTGCCTGTGAATCAAATTAACAAAAAGAGTTAGCCTGGGTGTATCTAAAGGATGAACAACACAGCTCGTATGGCTCGCTGGGAAAAATGGCAGTCTCAGTGACATCTGGTTGGCTTCTTGGAATGGGTAGTTCTCTGATCATTTGGTGCCTAGCAAACTACCATTGCCCACTAAGGACAAGTAGAACACTAGCTCCCTTCTCTCCTTGCCCCTTGTGAATCCCGTTGTCCAGGCCACCTGCTTCTGTCACATTCCCACCCAGATTGTCCTCCACTTTCCTCCCTACTTGTTCTAGATACTTGTCTCTAGCAGGTCCAGCTTTAAATCTGCTTTTTACCATGCAGTCCTGTTCCTGCCACTCCAGGCTTTATATCATTCCTTCTCTGGCCTCCTGTGGCACTTGAAGACTTTTTTACGATTTGCCCCCTCCAATTCTGCACAACAAATAATAAGTGAAACATTCACTGAGGATAAGGCAGAGTCCTAAGAACACTAGGTTTCCCTGTAAATATGGGGAAATATAGGTCCTTCTTTTTTCCCCAGTTTCCTAACTGTAAGAAAAAATTGGCAGAGCCTAGGCATGGTGGCACACACCCGTAATCACAGTGACTTGGGAGGCTGAGCAGGATGATCACAAGTTCAAGGCCAGCCCGAGCAACTTAGTGAGACCCTGTCTCCAAAAAGAAAAGAAAAGAAAAGAAAAGAAAGAGCTGGAATGTGGGTCAGAGGTAGAATGTTCCTGTGTTCCATCCCTAGTACTGTTAAAAAAAAAAAAAAAGTTAAGAACTATAAGAAAGTCAGAGAGCCTTAGTTCCAAAAGGTTTAAGGGCTGTGGATCTAGGAGAACATGGAGCAGCTCCCTACACAAGGAACCCAAAATGCAGAATGCCTCAGACCTGAGAGGGACCTCCCACTTCCCATCCCTTCGTCCCCTCAATCAGTAATCCTTGCTCCTCAGGTGGAGGACCTCCTGACCACACTGGAGAAGAGTGGTACGGGCGTCCCTGACATCATCCTCAGGAGGCTGAATCAGTCCCAAGCCCTGCCACCCTCTTCTCTACAGCGATTTCTTCGAGCTCGAAACATCTCTGGTGTTGTTCTGGCTGACCACTCTCATTCCTTTCATAACCAGTAAGAGTCACCTGATCCCACGTCCTCTTCCTTCTGAACAGGAGTCTCTTCTGTAGTCTGGGAGAAAGGGCACCATCTCCTCTCTCCCCCCATAACACCTGCTCCCAAGCCTCCAGGCAGTTTGTGTTCTTTGCTCAGTGTCCTGTTCACATCAGACCTAGCACCCTCATTGACTTGATGTCTGTCTTAGATACTAACAACCTCAACCTTGCCCTTTCCTAGCAGCCATCCTCCTGTTATGGTTCCTTCTCCAGGTTCTCCTGGGGCCTGAGTTCCCCAGGGCAGCCAGCAGAGGGCATCATCTCTAACAAGAGCATGGAAAGGATGGGAGGAGGGTTCCTCCGGTGGAGAACAGAGAGTTGTCCCTGTGTGGGGCCCGCCCAAGGGCACCATAGATAGTACTCGCAGTCTATGAAATAGAACATGTCCATGCCAGATTGGTAGGTGCACAGGATTCCTTGTGCTGAGGGGGCTCCAGAGATAAGAAGTGAGATGCTGTTTGTTTCCTATTTCTTGGTTACGGGTATCCTCAAACTGCCCCTAACATGAGGTCAGGGATAACAGGAAACTTCTCGTAGGCTGATTGCTAACTTACCAGCCTTTTGGGGGCTACACAAGTTTCTTAGTAAAAACGCTTTGGCTCAGGTTTTCCGAGCTAGCAAAGTAGCCCCTTCTCACATTTGATCAAGAGAGTGACAGTTCTGTTGTCAGCTATCTTCTTCATGTGTTTCCTTGGCATCAATTTGGAGTAAGGTATGGTTCATCATTTGAACACATTTTGGATTTGATTATGTGGCTGGCTTGACTAGAGCAGGGATTTATTAGTGGTGAAGGCTGGGAGCTCTCTTCTTCTCGCCCTCTTTTAAAAGCTAATTCCTTGGAGCTTCCCAAGAACCATCATGGTGATTATTTATTTGCTATGTTATATATTAGTGTGTTTATACATATCTGGGCTATACTTGATCCTAGTACCTGCTAATCCCCCCCTCCACTCCAGCCACCGACAATAGAAATGTTTATTGGAAAATCACACGATTGCTCTGATGATGTGTGGCAGAAATATCTGGAAATCTTCTTAGTCATCCTCCTATGTTTCTAGCCTAAATGATATTAGGAGAGTCTCCTATGGTTAAAGATCTCAGTTTAAACAGAGCTCACGCCTGTAATCCCAGTGGCTCAGGAGGTGGAGGCAGGAGGATTGCAAGTTCAAAGCCAGCCTCAGCAAAAGCAAGGCACTAAGCAACTCAGTGAGACCTTGTCTCTAAATAAAGTACCAAAATAGGGCTGGGGATGTGGCTCAATAGTCGAGTGCCCCTGATACCCCACTCCCCCCAAAAAAGATCTGTTTATTTACCTTTTTTACCTTGTCGTTGTATTTTACCACTCTCACCTTCACTCCTACCTCCCCATTCTCCATGCCTTCTTTAACCATGGATCCTAATTTTCTCCCTTCCTCAATAATGAAAGATAAAGTGAATGCCTCACTAGGAAATAGGAAAGGGGCAAGGCCCTGGTTGATATAGCCAAGGCTTATGCTGGCTCTTCTGACAGCTACTACCAGAGCATTTATGACACTGCTGAGAACATCAATATGAGCTATCCTGACTGGCAGAGCCCTGAAGAGGACCTGAACTTTGTGACAGACACTGCTAAGGTAGCCCTTACCCAAGTTGGGTGGAAACATGGGAAACACAGCAAATGAATATGTTTAAATGTTGCCACTTGAGGGTAGAAGAGGTAAGCCGTTCAGCCACTTCCCTCACCCACTGCAGGCCCTGGCGAATGTGGCCACGGTGCTGGCACGTGCACTGTACGAACTTGCAGGGGGCACCAACTTCGGCGACACAATTCAGGCTGATCCCCAAACGGTGAGAGCAGATGGGCCCCCACTTCTTCCTGTCTCTGTTTACACAGCAGGCCACACTTATCCTTATGTCCCTTGCCTAGCCTCCTGAGTTTTAGAGTTCAGCATGCCTGTTGGTGCCAGGAAGGATGATGCCCCAGAGAACTCTTGGGTGGGTTTCACTGTCACCTTGCGGGCCTGCGACTGTCTCCCAGCTCCCGTCTGGTTCCTGCTCCTGATTGATCTTTCATTCTTTCCCTGGGCTTGCTCCAAGTCATAGGATGTTTTTCCCCCCTCTTTTCTCTGTTCTAATCTTAGGTCACTCGCCTCCTGTATGGGTTCCTGGTTAGAGCCAACAACTCATGGTTCCAGTCTATCCTCAGACAGGACCTCAAGTCCTACTTGGGTAAGCATCTGATATGAGAAGGGGGACCCTTAGCTGAGGAAAGGTATAGAAAAAAAGGCATCATTTGGGTTTAATCTTTACCTTTTTTTTCTCTTTTTCTTTCCCCCCTGTTTCTTTCTTTCTCCTGTTGTTTGTTGGATCCTTTTCTCTTAACTTTCTTTTCTGGCTTCTGCCAATTGGGGGCTTTTCTTATTTCTGTCTACCCTCACCCCATCTTCCACCCATCAAATCCTCCCTTCCCTTTGGCCTGCAATCAGGCGATGGGCCTCTCCAACATTACATCGCCGTCTCCAGCCCCACCAACACCACTTACGTTGTGCAGTACGTCTTGGCAAATTTGACTGGCAAGGTGATCGGCCTCACCCGAGAGCAGTGCCAGGATCCAAGTAAAGTTCCAAATGAAAACAAGGATGTGAGTGGTGGTGGGTGTCGGAGGTGCCTCAGGACTCCTTGCCTTGGGAAAGTTGGAGGATCCCCTAAGCCCAGATGGACCCAGGGGATTGGGAGGGAGGGGTGGAAGGACACAGCCCTGTGAACCTAAGTGTTGAAGAGGCAGTAGCCTGGATAAAATTGGACTACTTAAAGGGAAAGGGACTGCAGCCAGTTAGTGGGTTGGAGTGGTGCTGATGGGGAGGGAGTAGGAGGATCACCCAGCCCTGTGTTGTGGCCCATCTTCCTGTGCAGCTATATGAGTACTCATGGGTTCAGGGCCCTTTGAATTCCAATGAGACGGATCGGCTCCCCCGGTGCGTGCGTTCCACGGCTCGACTGGCCAGGGCCTTGTCTCCTGCCTTTGAACTGAGTCAGTGGAGCTCCACTGAATATTCCACGTGGACTGAGAGCCGCTGGAAAGATATCCATGCTCGGATATTCCTCATTGCCAGCAAAGAGCTTGAGGTGAGATGGGACCAGAAGGGAAATGGCAGAGGTCTATTTGACTTCTTTCTGTTGTCTCTTGTACCCCTTTCCATCTCCCATTTACTCCAGATTTGTGGCAAATATCTATTGTAAATCTGTCCTGTTGAGAGGCGGTTCTTCCTTCACCATTAGAGAAAGCCCCATGTATCCCATAAGTTCTCTCATAGCCCCCACTCCCACCTGGTGTTCCCCATCTGGCACAGCTGGGATGAGTCAGTCTAACATATTGAGCCTGTGTCATTAGTAAGTCATTAATACAAGCACCAGGAGAGAATCAAAGGCATGAGTCCTGCCTTCCAGATACTTAAAATCTAAGTAATGCAAGATGGAAGCAAGAACAGAGATACTTCTTCCTTCAAATGAGGAAAGTTAAGTGCAGATTGGGAAGATGTTGCCCATGCTTGTTCCATAGTAGGTGCTTGATGCCAGCACTAGAATTCAGCTGGCCTGTCTTCCCAGTTTTCCATAGTTGCACTGAGTTCTGATAAACCATTTCTCCTTCCCTCACCTTCAGCTTATCACCCTGATGGTGGGATTCGGCATCCTCCTCTTCTCTCTCATCGTCACCTACTGCATCAATGCCAAAGCTGACGTCCTTTTCATTGTTCCCCGAGAGCCAGGATCTGTGTCTTACTAAGGAGAACTCCAGCTTACCCTGCCAGCTCTGCATTTCACTTCTACATCATTTGTCCCACTGGGAACAAACCACTAGTTTGTCACTGGAACCTCTCTGGGCCTGTCTCAGATTGGGATTAACACAAAGGAATAGAACTGTCCAGAAGAGACAGGAAGAAATAAACAAGTGGCCTCCCCTCCTCATCTCCCCCTTCCCCAATACTTCCTCCTTCCCTTCCCTGCAAGATTCTGGGATTACAATAGAGCCTTCCTGTTTCTGTTTAACTCCAGAGTCACCAACTCTAATTTACCCTTCCTCGGGATGACTCTTCCCTTCCCAGCCTTCCCTGTACCTCCCTGGTTCCCTCTCTTGCCCTGACCCCCCACTCCCAACTACTGCTCCTGACCACCTTCTGGACCAGGAAGGGGAACGTGAAAGGTTGAACATCAGGATCAAACTACAGTGAACCCTAAGGAGGAGGATGGGGTTTTCTGGGCTGAGCCTGCTGTCTCCTTCCCACTGCCCTTCCTAGGTCCTCAGATGGCACGTTAGGGTGGGCTTGCTGCCAGGTGGGTATCCCTCTTCCAGCCCACAGTGCTCAGCTGTACTTTTTATTAAGCTGTAATATCTATTTTTGTTTTTTCCCTTTTTTTTGTAAATATATAAATAGTGAGTTTCATTAAAATAGATAATCCTACACAACATGTACTGTCAGCTGTTATTCTTCCCAGACCACCTGAACTGGAGGTCAGTGACTCTGCATGCTACCACATTGGTCTCCAGAAGACCCAAGGAGGAAGGCCTTGGAGCACCCTCTTGTATGAACAATGTTAGCATAATTTCTTCTCAATTTGTAATAGACACTTTTTTTGGAGGGGGGTACTGGGGATTGAACCCAGGAGTGCCCTACCACTGAGCCATATCCCCAGCCCTTTTGATTTTTTATTTTGAGACAGGGTCTTGTTAAGTAGTTGCTGGGGCTGGTCTTGAAATTGGGATCCTCCTTCCTGCCTCAGCTCCCAGGTTGCTGGGATGATAGGTGTGCCCCACCACGCACAGCTGATGGTGGGGGTTTTGTAGACTAAAATAAGTTGTTTGGGATATTTCAGAAAGAGGACCACAGCTCTGTGGAGACACACTGAGTCTTCATGGAGGCAAAATTCTGGAGTAGATAAGTGTTGTGGCTGGTGACTGAGTCAGCCCGAGGGGAATGGGAACCAGCGGGGGAGGGAGCCATGGCCCAACCTTCTCTCCCTGTCACTGGCCAAGAGGTTTCTGACAACCTTCATGCCTGAAGACCAACAGAATAGAAAACTGGCCATTTGCACAGGTCCCAAGCATTACCCTTAAGTTCCTTGATTGGGCGATTTACCTTTTCAAATCTGCTAAGAAGAGGTGATTTTTCTCTGGGTTTCTTTCCAAGTTGGGGGCATGTTTGGGGTTCTGAGATAGGAAATACGCCCTGCTGCTCCCCCTAGTTGGAGTTGGAGAGGCTGTATGCGGTACTGGCGGGAGCCGAGCGCAGCTGCCACCATCGCCTGGGCCGGCTCCATGCCTCCCTCGGCCAACAGGTCTCCCAGTGGGCAGAGCAGTAAACTCCCTCATCCTGCTGGCAGCTTCGGGAAGCGGGGACATGGCTGGGTACCAGGAAGGGGGTTGAACGGGGAAGCAGAGGCTCAGGCAGGATTGAGGAATCAGGGTGGGTAAGAAAGAAGGGTATAAGATACAGGATCTTTGATACGCAGTCTCCTCAGGTCCTAAGAAAGAACCCTGAACACAAGCTTGTCTTCTATCTGCCATGCTTTCTTAACTCTTTAACCAGTGAAGATCCCTTCTGCCCAGGGGCTGAGGGAGGAGCACAGCCACCCAGATGACTTACTGGGGCTCCAAAACATTCTCTCTGCAGTCATGATGCTGGCACCTCACCAGATGTCTCTTGTGCCCTGAAGACTGTGTGACTGCCTGGAGCATCTTAGGGGCCACGCACCTCTCGATTTCTTAGCCTCCTTCTCCCTCTTCCATCTAGGCCTTGTTCATCCTGTGCCTCCTTCAATGCTTCATTTTCTAGCCTCTTTCCTTTCTCAGGGAGCTTGCTTTCCTCCTGCTCATTGCCACTTCTCTTCCTGCTGACCCATGGGGAAGTTTGAACAAATGACACGCCCCCTCCCCAGGACCCAGCCTCTCTCTACCTATGTGATACCTCCTTCCTCGGCGCTAACACCAAAGGCTTTCGTACCAGGTTTTCTTCAGCCTGTTTTGATTAAAAGCCTTTACTCTTTTCTCTTTTCAGCTTCTGGGTTACTGCTTCCAAATGCACATCTTAGGAGTTTTTTTTTTTTTTTTTCTCAGTACTAGGGATTGAACCCAGGGGTGCTCTACCACTAAACTACATACATCTCACACCTTTTTATTTTTTTTATTTTGAGACAGTCTCACTAAGTTGCCCGTGCTAACCTTGAATTTGCAATCCTGTTTCAGCCTCCAGAAGAGCTGGAATTACAGGTGTGCACCACCACACCCAGCTGATTTTTTTCTCATCTAAATGCTGATGTTCTATACCACGATCCCACTGTATTCAGTAGGACTTGGTTTCTTTGAGGGAACTTATTCCTAATAAGACCTAGGAGACTGTGTGTGTACTTGAAATCATTAGGTAGATGTGGCAAAACTAGCCCAGAGGACTGATGTAGCTTGCCCAGGGTCACACAGTAAATGAGCAAGTTAGGATTAGAATGTTTTATACCTACACTGGCAGCCACAGCAGTAATAAACATTTTGTTGAGCATGGCTATGGGTAAAGCTGTCTTCCCCAGCATCGTGAAAGGGTAAGAGATACGGTGCCTTCCCTTTGAGATGCTGGATCCAGAGTCTAGGTGGCAGATAAATAACCAGGTGTGGCTATATATGCTTCGTGCAAGATTAGTGCCCTAAATAAGTTCGAAGGATGGGTTTGGCTTGGGCACAGGGCCAGTAAGGAGGAGCCTCTTGTGGGAAGTGTTCTAAACCAGATTTTCTGGTCTGCCACAATGCTGTGTGACCTTGGGAGGGGCATTCCCCTTCCCTGGGCTCCTGTGTTCTCATCTGTAAAGTGTGGATTTAGACAAGGGACTGTTCTCTCAGGTCCACACTAGCTCCGTCTGTCTGTCTGGTTCTGTGCAGGGACAGCTGGAGGTGTAGCCTCCTCTCTCACCTCCCTTTTATCTATGTCCCTGGGACAGGGACCATTTAAAAGGTTGGTCAAGTTTTGTGGTGCAGTAGTGCACGCCTGTAATCCCAGTGACTCAGGAGGCAGAAAGATCACAAGTTGGAGGCCAGCTTGGGAAAGTTAGTGAGGCCCTGTCTCAAAATAAAAAAAAGGGCTGGGACGGCAGATCAGAGGTAAAGCTCCTGGGTTCAATCCCCCAAGTCCCCAGTACTTCCAACAACGACAACACAAACAAGAGGCTGATTAATTCTTGAACTCTGAAAGGCAGCACTAGGCACTAGGATCAATCCTAGGAAGAGGTCTCAGGGACACCATGGCCCCCTAACCCAGGAACAGTAGGAAATTTGGGAAATTGTGGCAGAAGACTAAACAGGAACCCTCTCCTTTCAGCATTCCATTCTCAAAAAGCTAGGAAGAAAAAGAAAGCTTGGCTGGGCAGGGTGTAGTTGAACTAGGAAAGAAAAGAGAGGTTCCTGAAAGGTTGGCCTCGGGAGAGGTTTTTATCGTTTCCTGAATTCAAACCCAGAAGGTCCGGGGGTTCCACCCTCTGTAGAGAAGGACTCCATGTCCAGTCGGGAGAAACACTGGGCAGGAGAGGAGGTCATCTCAAGAGGCCTACAGAGCAGCCATCCCTCTGAGATGATGCAACTGTTAGCAAATGTTACCAGCCTCTGGCTCAGGCTGGGCAGGGGCTCAGGAGCTGGAGGCTAGGACCCTGGAGTCCCCCTTTCTCTCTCCCCCAACTCACAACTGAAGAGGGGTTACAGAACCTCAGGAGAAGGAGCAAAACCTGAGATCAGAAAGGCAACTGAGGAAGTGGAATTCCCAGCTGGGCGGAAGGAGGAAGGGGAGGGATAGCTGGAGAGGGAACCCAGCCTGAGGGGAGAAAGGCCAGGAGGGCGTGGCCAGGAGGGGAGTAGGCCCAGCACTGGTGGTGACAGATGGGTGGACACAAAGAGGAGAGCTTCGGGGAAGACAGATGGATGGGGGAGGGAAGAGAAGAGGCTGGGGGCGGGGGCGGTGCAGTGGTTGGAGGCCCTAATGAGATTGGAGCTGAGGAGAGGTGAGTGGAGAGGAAGAAGAAAGGCGAGGCCGACTTAGGAGACAAAGGCAGTAAGGTCCAGGGGGCCAGGGGCGAGAGGGCTCCGGGCTGGGCCCTGAGAAGGGGGGCTTCCAAGGGGCTGGCAGCAGAGAGGGTGACAGATTGTGTAGTTAGCCAGAGTGGAGACCCGCTGTCACCTTCTAGAGGCATGGATAGGTGGAGACAGAGGAGGACAGACCGACAGAGACCATGTGGAAATGGACAAGGAAACTCGAAGATGAAGATGCTCCACAAACGCAACAGCTCCTGCCCAGGCTCCTCCTCCTGCCTGCTTTGCTCCTGTGACCCCCAAACACCACCAGCCTCTTACCAAATAACACCCTGCCATGGGCCACTCCTGGGGAAGGGTCAGGCAGTATGGCACAGCAAGGGTTAACGCCGTCTGCTCTCCCTGCCAGCCGCTTGCCTGGTTGGGTCCCTAGGGCTCCCCACATATGTCACCCCCTCTCCTGCCAAACCCACTGCTTCTCAGCTCCTCCAGGCCCTCCCCCACCCTCAAGGATGGGCCCAGGCCCCTGTGTCTTCCCTACCCACCAACTCCCTCCCCCAACAATCTACCTACAGGCTGTCAGGGGACAGAAAGAGATTTGTGAATCGCCATCTGAAAAAGTGAATGTCTATAAAATGCAAAATAACTACAATAAAACACAAAGACATAACTCTCCTCCCCATCCCCAAGCCCTGCTCCTCCTGCCCTCCTTAGAGCAAAGGCCCCCACAAAACTCCAAGGGTTCTCCTTGCCCTTTGGGGCGTGGGGCTGACCTCAGCTCTCTCCAGCTTTTTTGCATCATGATGCCTTAGATACATGTGCCTATGAAACTTCTTGCTGCCTTTAAATCACCATGCAAATGTAAGGGGTTGGGCACTTTACAGTTGACCCAGCACTTTTCCACTCGTTATACCTGGATGTCACACAGTTCGATGGAAAAGGTAACATTATCCCCATTTCGCAGATGGCAAAATAAGGCTCAAGGTTAAGTGACTTATCCAAGGTCACCAGGACTTGGACCCCAGGTTCAGTTCCTTTCCACCATTCCATGTTTTAGCTTCTCTTTATTACACATGAATGTTCTTTTTAGCTACTACCCTCAGGAGCCAAGACTGAATCCCTGAGTGAAGCCTGGGGCTGGGGGCCCCAAAATCACGGATCCTAGTTTGACAGATGCAGAGAAGGAGGAAGTGGTCCCCAGAGCATGTTCTCACTTGCACTAGAGATAGCTCCAGCCGGGTGCTACAAGCATGGAGTTTGTGGGACTGAAGTATCTGAGCTAAACATCCTACAAGTGGGGAGGTTGGCACTGGGGGTTGGCTCCTTCTTCCCTTTCCATCCATCCTTTGACTCTATTTCTTTATTCATTTGGTACCAGGGATTGAACCCAGGAGCAGTTAACCACTGAGCCACATCCCCAGCTCCCCTTTCCACTCTAAGAGTCTCTCCCAGTTCTGATTCTGTTTTCCTCAACATCTGACATGTAAGGCTCTGAGGCCCTCATTTCAGCAAAAATCCCTCGCCCACATCCTATTTCTCTGCTCTCCAAACTTCTCTCCTATACTTTTCCTGTTTCCTCTCAATTGTCTGCTCTCTGCTTCCCCCATGTCTAGGTCTCCTTTCTGTCTTGAGGTTTCCCTCAGACTGTCTCCCAGGATCAGCATCTCTCCATTGTTGAAGAGCAACGTTTTCTCCATTGTTTGCATTCACCTGGGTCTCCTGAATGGCCTCCAATTTTCAGATCTCTCCCCACCTCTCTCTCTCTCCCATACCTTGCATCTCTGACTCTTCTACGAAGCTTTGGCGACCTTGCAATTCTGCCCCACCCTCCCATTTTTTATCTTTGTCTCCCCTGTGTCTGTCTCTCCCCAATTGTGTAACCCCATTTCTCTGTCTCCCCATTTATCTGTCTCTCCCATTTCTCTGCCTCCCCCATTTCTCTGCCTCCCCCATGTCTGTTACCAATAACTCTCTGGTTTCTCATCTTTTTTTCTCTTTCTCTCCCTGTGTCTCCCTCTTCATTTCCCTCTGCATCCCCCCACCCTTTATTTATTTCTCCTCTCCCCTCTGGCTCTCTCTCCCGCGTCGTTTGGTCTCCCAATTCCTTGGATGGGTTGGAGGGCAGGAGGGTGGGGGAGGTAGAACTGTTGTTGCTGGGGGCTCATTAGGTGGAGATTGGTTTTTAATCAGCACCATGGCAATGATGATGCAAGAATTGAGATGCCACCTGATCCCCTGCCCCCCCCACCCAAGCCTTCTTTCCCCTCCAGCTCAGCCCATCTGCTGGAGCCTGGGCACCTGTCGAGGCCTGCCCAGGTGGGAGTTGGCACCTCCCAGACCTGGGGGCAGGGAGAGCAGGGGGAGTTGGGGAGGAATTATGGAACTCTCCTTAGGGAATGCCTCAACTGGAGAAAGCCCAGAAAAGATTGATCAGTCACAGAGAAGTGGCAAACTCCTCGTCTGAAGGCTGGCTGTGCTCCTGCTAAAGTCTAGGCCCACAGCAAACACTGTCAGCCTTAATCTCCATGGAGACCCAAGAAGCAGAAAAAAGCCATTGAGGTTCAAGAGGTTGTTACTTGTCCAAGGTCACACAGCTGTCTCTGGAGTCCTCTCCATCCATGGTTTCTAGTCACAAAGGTTCAATGAAGACTTTCAACAGCCGAGTAGGGAAAGAGAACTCGGATACTGAAACCCAGTCCCCTATCTCAGTGCTTCCCTTCACTGGGTGCCCCCTCCCCACTCCTGTCACCTTGCAATACACACACAAACACACACACACACACACACACACTCACACACACACTCACACACACACACAATGGAGGCTACTGAGCTATTCATGTGAATTTAATCAGTGCTCATTTGCACATAGTTTTGTATCACTTTTCTTGTTGCTGATTTCCTGCCTCATACACTCCAAACTCTGCCCTCCTCTGCCAGCGTCCTCTCCAATCCTGGCTCTTCCTCTCTTGGCACTCCTCCCTCCTCGCCTTTATCCCCTACCTCTCTCCTCCTAAGAGTCCCTAATTTCCAGTGAGTGCAGTTAGGCTGACCAGCCTCAAATAATTCCTTATGGGGTCTGTGTCCAGACTCTGACCCCACTCACGGCCCAGTGATGGAGTAGGTAGGAAGATGGGGGCTGGATAAGAGAGGGGACAGGGTGAGTAATTCTCAGGGTGATAAGGGTGAGGGCCTGCACAGTAGCTAGAAGCAGTCTGGCGAGGGGTGGATACCAACTTTTATGAAAATGAGCACATAGTTAGAGCCAGGACTCCCGGGTCCTTTTGTCCTGTTTTAGTGATGTCCACTTGCTCTCTTTGCAGTTTCCTGTTAGTACCTTGGAGATCCTTTTTCTTAGGAAAAAAGAGATATGGGGAAGGGGCCCTCAAAGTCATGCTGGGACTCGGAATGGGACTATAGCACTTAAATCCAGCTTGCTAGGGCCCTCTGCCCCACTGCCTCTGGCATGGGAGGCTGAGGGGGTTCATCTGTGGTCCTGCCCTGGCTCTGGCCCCAGCCCCACCCCTTCCCCAGCTCTCCATTTCTTGCTTATGAAATATGCATGGAGAACAGATGTCCCTGCTCCCCCACTCCCCGCCCCCCCCCAGGGCCAGCCTCCGCCCCCAGCTCCCGGGGGGTTCCCAGATCCCTCTGCCAATGGCTGCCTGGCCTGGCTAGTTAATATTGATGAGGGGGGGCATGGATAAGCCAATGGAGAGCTGGGGGTGTGTATGTGTATCTCCATATATATACATAGGGCTGGGCCACCTCAGGTGTGTATGTGTCTGTGTCTGTGAGTGTGGGTGGACCCAGAACCTGCCCAAGCCCACTCCCTCCACCTGAGCCCTGTATCCTCACCATGTGTGCCCCTTTCATCTCTTGTGGAGCCTGTACAGCCACGCCAAGCTCCCGCCGAGAGCTCTAGAAAGCCGGTCACTAACTTTGCAGACGGATGAACCCCGAGCAGCCAGAGGAGACTGGGGCTCTCAACGCTGCCCCTCTGTCCTGCCGGCTTGGATCCCTTGGGTCCTCCTAGGTAAAAGGGGAAACAGGATGCTGGGCAGGGGTGGGTGTGTTCTTCCAATTCTCTGGCTTAAGCCCCTTCCCAGAGCCTCCTTCCGGTTCCCTCTCGTGTGCTGTGTCTCTCCATCTCTGCCTCTTCCCCACTTCTTTTTGACTCTTTGTGCCTGTCTGTCCTCAATCGAATTGCGGTTGACAGAAGTGCGGTGGGAAGTCCGAATCTGGATGTCTGGGATGGCAGCATCTCTGATCCTTGGATCCTGGAACTTTGAGACCAGATGTGGATTTGGGGGTGAGAACTTAATAGGGAAATAGAAGCTGCTGCCCAGACTGGAGCTGAGGACAGTGGGGACAGATGGAGACGGGCCGAGGCCAAATGAGGAGCACAGAGAGGGCATGTGATAGTGATCAGGATGGAAGGGACAAGGGGACCAGCAAAGGCAGAATCTGGTTATTATGATAGATGTACTGGGAATGCTACAAACAATCTTCTAGTTCCAACCCAACTATGGGAGTGAGGAGCTGGGGCACTCATCATGCACTCTGTGATTCTCCTTCACTATCCTCCACGAGTGCCATCTCTCTCCTTCCTTTGGATCCTGGAATATGGAGTATGCTCTTACTTTCAGCATGAACCTTCATCTGTTTTGTGTCTTGGTTGTGTGTTTGCTTGTCTTCCCCACAGTCAGATGTGGACAACCTTGCATCCCCTTATTAACTGTCTACTTGACTTATTAACTGTCTACTTGACTTGAGCCTGTCTTCTGTGGTGCGGGGGCGTACTGGCCCTGGGAGAGTGTCTGTCAGGCAAGAAAGCCAGGGTTGAGAAGAAGGGGAGATGGTGACTGTAAAGGAGCCTCAGTGCTTGTTTCTTACTTAAGTCAGGCTGAGCTCACTGTTTCTACGAACACTCCTCCCAACCAAAGCCCCTTCCCCTGCCACGTTCCTGCTGTCTTCCACTGATCTCCTCTGGACCTGAGACAAGCAAACCTCAGCCAAGCCTCACAAGGGTAGCCCCAAGAAAATGTCTACGCCTTCCTCTTCAGGCCATGCCTGAACTACCTTGGAATATGGGAGAGTGATTATGTTCCCTTTCCCCAAACTTCCTTGCGGAGTCTCCAAAAGGGCCAGGGAATGGCAAGGGCTGAATGTGCTGAGGACAGAGATGGCAGAAAAGTGGTCCTGGGCAGGGGGATCTTCATGAGAAGAGATATCTTCCCCTGGTTCGAATGGTGGTAGGATCCAGTGTCCACAGTGGTCATGTCAAGGAGGTTTTGGGGACTGGAGGTACTAAGCTAGGGCAGCTGTGCTAAGCTCCATATGTCCCAGCCTACCATACAATGGACAATCCGTGTATTTTAACCCCCACCCCAAGAAGCAAGGGGTGGGAGGAAAAAGATTACAAGGCCAAGATTTTCAATCATACCCCCTCCCCTGCCACAATTGGGAAAGGTCTAGAGCCATAGCCAACCTCTCTTGGAGCTATAGCTCCAGTCTTGCTCAGTTTTTACCTTTTATTTATTATTATGGTAAAAAAGTAACAAAAATTGCCATCTAAACCATTTTTAAGTGTACAGTTAATTTGGGCATGGTGGCGCATGCCTGTAATCATAGCTACTCAGGTTACTGAGGCAGGAGGCCAGGAAGTTCAAGGCCAGCCTGGGCAACTTAGTGAGACCCTAAATAAAATAAAAAAAATAAATAAAAAGAGATAGGGGTGTTGCTTAGTAGCAGTGGGTTCAGATCCCAATACTGAATGAAAGAAAAGTATTCAGCTCAGTAGTGTTAAGCATATTCAACGTATAGTGAAATAATCTCCAGAACTTTTTCATCTTGCAAATGCGAAGCTCTGGACTCACTAAGCCACTCCTTCCTCCACACGCCAGCCGCCACTCTACTTTCTGTTTTTATGAATTAGACCACTTTAGATAACTTTATGTAAGTGGACTTACAGTAATTTGTCCATTTTCAACTGACTGACTTAATAGGTCTT